TAGAGTCAGTCTCTCACCTTAGAGCTACTAATATTTATTTTATATGTTTGGATGGTCCCATGTTGGGGGTATATATGTTACATATTCTTGCTTAATTAATCTTTTTGTAAATACGTAGTTACCTTCTTTGTCTTTTACAGTTTTTCATTGAAAGTCTACTCTTTCTGATACAGTACAGGTACTTCTGCTTGGTTTTGGTTTCCTTTTGTGTGATACATCTTTTTCCAACCTTCTGCTTTTAGTCTGTCTTTACCAGTGAAGTGAGTTTCTTATAGGCAGCCAATAGAAGAGCCTTTTTAGAAATCCACCCAACCAGTCTACATCTTTTGATTGGTGAATTTAATCTATTTATATTAAAGGTTTTTGTTTTTGCTTTTTTGAGACAGGGTTTCACCATGTAGTTCAGGTTGTCCCCAAATGCATGGTAATCCTCCTGCCTCAGCCTCCCATGCACTAGGATTACAAGTGTGCATCCCCATGCCTGGCCTAAAGGTTATTATTGATAATGGTAAACTTGCTCCTGTCATTTTGTTAATTGCATTCTGCTTGCTTTGTAGGTTTTTCGTTCCTTCCCCCATTTTATCATTTATTTATGCAGTTTGGTAATTTTCTGTCAATTCTCTTTCTTTCTCTTTCATGTATCTGTTCTTCTAATGAACTTGTGTGTTCATGTGTTTCTATGATGGTGGTTATCATCCCGTGGTTTCTCATGTAGACTCCCCCTAAGATCTTTTGTAGGGCTGGTCTGCTGCTTTTGAATTCCCTCTGTTTCTACCTAGCTGGAAAAGACTTTTATTTCTCCTTCCATTATGCAGGATAATCTTGCTGGGTGTAGCATTTTTCATTGGAAGCTTTTTCCTTTCAGTACTTTAAATATAACATCCCACTCTCTTTTTTTCCTGTAAGGTTTCTACCGATAAGTCCACTGTGAGTTTAATGGAGTCTCCTACATGTGACTCGCTGCTTTTCTCCTGCTTTTCACCTCTTTTCTTGTACTTCTGGCGTTTTGCTGGAAAGTGCCTTTGTGAAGGTCTGTGTCTGTGAGTCTAGCTGGCTCCCGTGAGTGTCTGGACTCTCAATGCCCATCTCTGAAGATGTGGGAGGTCTCCGGCCTTACCTGGGGAGCAGGCTTTGATACCTGTCCGTCTCCCCACCTTCTAGACTCCCTGATGTGCACATGCGTTCACTTGGCGATGTCCAGGGAGCCTCCGAGGCTTTCTTTCTCCTCTTCATCCCTCCCTCTCGCCCTCTTTTCCTTCTTGCCCCCTTTCCAGTCTGATGGGTTAACGAAATACCTGTCCTCGGGTTCAGAAAGTTTTGTTCCAGTCTTTGTGGAAGCTCTCTATTGTAATATGCATTTCGCTGAAGTCTTTAATTCCAAGATTTCTGATTGTTTCTTCTTTCTGAATTCTCTTTGCTGAATTGCTCATTGATATTCTGAGTTGTTTTTCTCATTTCTTTGTATTATTAATCTGTATTCTCTTACAGCTCACTGTGTTTCCTTAGGATCATTATTTTAAATTCTTCTTCAGAATTTAACTTCGTAGATTTTCTTCAAATTGAGACCTGCATCTGGAGAGTTACTGCTCTTCTTTGGAGCAGTTTTTCCCTTCATGTTCCTTGTGCCCTTATAGTAATGTCTGTGCATCTGCTATTCATTTCTGTGTGTGTGTGTGTGTGTGTGTGTGTGTGTGTGTGTGTGTGTTACTGCCGATCACATCCCAGGGCCTTCGCACTGAGCTACCTCCCTAGTCCTGAGTTTTTATTTTGAGACAGGCTTGCCACAAGCCAGAGTTGCCCAGTCTGGGCTTGAACTTACGATCCTCCTACCTCAGCCTCCCAGAGTGTTGGGCTTACAGGCATCCACCACCATGGCTGGCATTCATTTCTTCCAGTTGTATGAAGCAGCTTTCGTAAGGAAGCATGCTCTCATTTAGATGGCATCCAGGATGTCGGTTGGGAAGGCACTTTGGCCTTGTTTGTAGGGAAGATTCACAGTGTTGTCCCTCTGTGGTCCCTTCCCTTGCTGCTGGCAGGAGCATCAGTCTTCAGTAGGCTGCAGCAGTCCACAGAGGTCATTGCTTGGCCTGGCAGTGGACGTGGCCTCCACAGCTGTGTCTTCGTGCCCCACAGTGTCAAGCCCTGGTGGTCCTGGTGTGGTGGCAGTTGCTATAGTCTCGGTGGTATGTGATGGGGAGAGGTCTCCTCCAGCTGTCTCAGGGCAGGCACAGGGGACACCAACAGCTACAGACCCCAAGCCACAGCTGTGTGGAGACCTTCTCCACGAGTCCCAAGGTGGAGGCAGAAGATCCACCTGGTGCACCAGCAGCCACGGTTCAGGAGCCCTGGCTGGGGTGGGGCCTTTCCTCAGTCCCCAGGTGAGCACAGGTGGCCCTGAGTTTGCAGCCTGGTGACATGGATGCTTTAGAACACAAAAGGGAGCCGTCCCTGGGTGTTGTGAGGTGAATGCGGGTGGTTCCGGGCCTGCAGGGCTGGTAGCTGTGTTCATGGGCCTGGGAGGCCCAGATGGTCCTGTCTCCGGATCCCAGGGGTCAAGCACAAGTCCTGTGAGGACCCTGCCACCAGAGCTGTGGTCCAAAGGCCGTGGGTTGTGGAGCTGATGTTCCCAGGTGGTGCAGCAGCCAGGGGAGACCTTCACCAGGTCCTGGGGTGCCCAGTGCAGGTGGTGCTGGGCCGATGGCTTTGGTATTTGTAGTCCTGGAGTGTCCCCTGGCCACCCATGGGTGCTCAGGTGCTGCTCATGACACCCTGGAGCGGGAGAGCACAGGTGGGCTCTCCCAGGTCCCCACGCTTTGCACCCATGCTGCTCTTCCAAAGCCAGGGCTGGGAAGGGGCCCCGGGCTGGAGCCCGTGATGAAGCAGGGCCTCAGTCCCGCCTAGCCCGCCTGGGCACAGCAGGCAGGGCTGCCGTGGAGGGAGGTGGCTGCCGTCCTGAAGCCGCAGGGTGCTACCGGGCCCTCTCCTGCCCTGGGAGGCGCAGGCCGAGGCCTCCGAGGTCACCCGTTGGCGCTGGCTCCTCGGCCAGGATGCTGTCCTGCAGCAGGTTTGAGTCTGGGTGGGGGAGGCCCAGAGCCAGTGCCTTCCTTGAGCAGAGGGTGCGCTTTCGGAGCAGCAGCTCCCCAAGTGGGCTTAAAGCTTGCAGGTCCCTGGGGCCCTCCTGCAGTCAGGGCCGGTTCTGCACTGCACTGTTAAGACGGACAAGTCTGCCCGAGGTGCGGGGCCCCTGCCCTGGGCAGCGGAGCTAGGTGTTGTGAGCGGGAAGCCCTTGTCCTCTACTCACGCTGCGTAGGGCTCCCTTCACCTTTTGCTGCTTCCCGGGCTGTCCCTCGGGACGCCTGACACACAGGCTCTTTTAGGAAATGGTCTCCAGCCCGTTCTCATCCTTCAGCAGGTGCTGCCCTCTTCTTTCTAAGCTGTCACTTTACGAGCACTGAAGACAGAAAGGCAAACATTCCCCTGGAAACAGGGCGTCCAGAACAGGAGAGGCCTCCGTGTGCTGGGACCCTGTCATCGACGGGACCTGGGGCCGCGCTGCTCTTTACCTGGCCCTTCAGCCCCTAAGCCAGGGCCCTCGCCACCTCCACACAGCATGCTGCCAGACCAGGCCGTGCTGTGTTTGTTTATTCGGAGGAGGAAATGTGGGCTTAGTGGTAAGAACTCACCCAGGCCCAGGTCTTACGGCGTCCAGTTCAGGGCTCTTCCTAGCGTTCCATGGCCCAGGTTAACCTGTGTGAACCCAAGACAGTCTTTGCCAGAGAAACCCTGTGGAAGAACCAACCTCATGCAAAAGACAATGGGCCTTAAGGCCAGCTCTGTCTGACAGGTGTCCAGGGGCATCTGAAGCCAGCGTCCCCTTCCCAGTGCAGGTGACAGAGCTCACGTGACAGCACTCAGCATCACCCCCAGCCTACCTGCCAGGACCGTGAAAGGTGACAGGTGCTGGGCACAGACTGCACCTTTGTGGGCTTCCTTCTGCGTGTGCCAGGTATTGCTGAGGCCCACGAGGACAGAGGAGCGGCGACAGCAGTGCTGTCATTATTAACAGCAGAGCCCTGCAGCACGTTGGTGTATAGCGGGAGCTGACTTACTGAGTGTACGTTCTCATGGCTTGATAGCATCATCACCCTGAAAGTGCACTTGGAGAGGGGGTCAGAAAGTTTCATGCGCACAGCATTTTACAGGGCTCTTCTCAGCCAACATGCCAGACGGTGCGTCCCTGCGTCACCTTGGTGTTGGAATAGCCCTTTAAAGTGTCCCAGCTGCTGCCTGTGTCTGTGGGTGCAGGCGCGGGCTCCACAGCAGGCTCACCTGCTGCCACTGCACTGACCATGGCCCTGCAGTCTCTGCTGCACCAAGGGTGGCCTTACTGACTGCTAACGGAGCAGTCGGTGTCTCCTCCCCTTCATTCACTGCACATGCGTGAGATTACATCGCTCCATTTTTAGTTTTATTCTTTTCTTGTTGTCTTGCTCCTCCACGAGTTTACCACACAGAGAAAAGCAGAAACACACTGTGGTGTGGAAGATATGTGGCACTGTGAAAATACAGTGGTGCCTCAGTTCACGAGCTTGATTCCTCCCCCAATTCTGGTCGCAAACCGAGTTGGACAAGAACCAAATCCAATTTCCCCATAAGGTCCACCTTGAACCTGACCATTGATTCGGTTCTCATCCATCTCAGTTTATGACCAGAATCATGGGAAGAACTCAGCCCGTGAGCCGAGGTGCTCCTGTATCAGGACTGCTGTGACCAGCGGTCTGGCTGCCAATGAGAAGACGCTTGAGACAGTGGAGGAAAATGTTAAGAACCTCTGATGTACACACTGTGTTCTCTTATGAAAAGAAGCCATCCCTGTCCATTAGACATCTGTCCTCTGGAGGGCACGTGCTGTTCCTTCCGAAAGTCTGTGGCTTGGGCTCTGGCCACATGTGGTGGGCTGGGACTGCAGGCGACCAGGCTGACGGCGTGTTGTCTTGCAGGTGTTTACCTTGCTGTGGATCGCGGACTGGATGGTCCACCACTTCTGGAGGAAGGGAAAGGACCCGGACAGCTTCTCCATCCCCTACCTGACTGCACTGGGGGACCTGCTGGGCACGGCGTTGTTGGCCTTGAGCTTCCATTTCCTGTGGCTGATTGGAGATCGAGATGGAGATGTCGGAGACTAGGAAACCCTGCAGGTCGCTCTCCATTACCAAGGGGAGCGCACAAGATAACACCCCTGGCTCTTCTCCGAAACACTGCAGAGTGAAAAGTCTGACCTCTGCCAGGGTGGTCCTGCGTGGGCCCTGATTCCATTAAATGGCCTTAACATTTTTTAAGGGATTTGTGCTGAAACCAGAATGAACAGTATTTGTGCTGCTTTTTATAGAATAATTTGTCATGGACATGGCTACAAACTCAAGTAGGAAAGAAAGACTATAGATTGTTTACAATGAATAATTTTGAAACCACAAACATGACAGAAATGTACTTTATTATTATTTAGGGTACAGTGCTAGGGGAGAGGAAACAGAGCTCGAGGTTGGCCTCTTTTGTCTTACGGATATATTAGGTGGCAAAGCATACTCTAAAGTGAAAGGTGCCCAGCCAAGCTTTGCAGTTTTACTTATGCCCATTTGGTGCTAGCTGAGGTAAATTTACCAATCACTTAAATGTGTTCTCCTGATCATAAGATGAGCTCATTTTCACTTGCATGTAAAAGTAGCGTGTACCAATGCTAATTTAATTTCAACTCTGCAAGCTTCTCCAGGCTAGCTGTAAACACAGAGCCATCTTGAGAGACCTGTAATGAAGCCAGTGGACCATTTTTGATCGTTGATTTGCAGAGAAAATGTTGCTCTTTTTCAGAACACTTCAGATTCAAAAACAAGATAGGCTGAGTCTCCTTTGCAGAGACAGGATGGCATGAGAAACTGTGTGCGTGTGTGTGCACACACGTGCACGCGTGGGAGAGAGCCTGAGAGAGGACCTTTCAGAAGACCTGGGTCTTGGCTTGTGGGTAGTAAAGCTCAGTGCTTTGGGAATAAAAGCACTGCAGAATTACTCTTAAGCACATTTTATTAATGTACTTTGGTCATTTGGTCCCAAAATTCTGCTACTGAGCAGGATTTGGTATTTGCTGCCTACATTCTAATTACTAGCTGCTGCTTCTACAGAAAGCTGTCTGTTTAGTGTAATCTAGACACAGAAAGAATAAAGAAGAGCTCTGAGGCTCTCACAGAGAAGCCTGCCCTGTGCCCTTTTAGGACAGAAGTTGGGGTGTCACCTCGGCAAGTGCTCACGCCCATCTGTGTCGCCCGGCAGCACAGGCTGGTGAGGCCCTGGGACCTTATCACACACCCTGCTGCTGTAGGTCTCAGGCATGTGTGTTGTAAACACCTAGAGCCACATCGCAGCTACCCAGCAGGTTTGCCTTTTCAAGTCACATATCATTCACTTTTTAAAATGCAGTGCAAGGCCGGACATGGTGTTGCACGCCTGTAGTCCCAGCACTCGGGAGGCTGAGGCAGGAGGTTCACTTCAAGTTCCAGGCCAGCTTGGGCTACAGAGTGAGTTCAAGACCAGCCTGAACTTCATAGTGAAACCCTGTCTCAAAAAGACAAAAAAAAAATGCAGTGCAATCTCCCAAGACCATTAGTTAATAATTTAAAATAAGGGAATAAAAATGCACATCACCTTTGATTATTGTGGTTTAAGTTGTGAGTTAGTGTTAGATGTTTATAAATATATTGGAAAAGTATCCTTATTAAGCTCTTTAAAATAAGGGCCTGTGGTTTAGAGTTATATATTTTTGCTTATTTTTAAACTTTAATTATTCCATTCTTCTGCCTTACAGTGAAACTTTTAAGGCAGAGACTGAACTAATTATGGAATTTCTCCTTTGGAGAGTTACAGTGTCACGTGGTGAACATTTTTGTAAAAGAATGATTACGTTTAAGTTGACAAATATTTAGCTGCAAAGTTTTATTTTTAGAAACGTCCGTGAATCGTGTCTTTTTTTTATTGCCAAGCACTTGTAACTTCCTTCCTTACATTTGGCCTCTGTGTTCATAGCCATTCCCATTTCCCAGGGATCGCTGTTGATGGGTTTCACCCAGAGCGCGTAGAGCAGCCGCAGTCTGGTGCGCCCGCCGCTCCGTGCTGCCGTGCGTCCGCTCCACAGAGCTCGCTCAGGCCCCCGCGCACTTGTGCTCGCAGCCGAGCCTGGGCCGTGGCTTGCGTAGCTGCTCCTGTCTGCGCTGCAGCAGAGAAGATGGAAACGAAGGCTGTGCTTTAGCGTGGTGCAGCTGCACAGTGGCCAGGTTGTGAGCTCCCGAAGGCCAGGCTGTGGGCCTTCTCGGCAGGGCCCCTTCCGTGACCCATCTCCGTGCGCGGAGCAGCCGCGGGGGGGAACAGGGTTTCCTACACAGCATTACCGCGTCTTTCTCAGTGTGTTCAGAAGGCTCCCTGTAATACGGCTTGATCGTGAGTCCAGCTGGCCCTTATGTGCCTAAGATCAAGGGAAACATCAGCAAAATAATGAAAATATTTATAAAATACTTCATTTTATTTTATAAAATACTTTTCACGTTTACAGTGACGAAATTGGAATTAAGAACAAGGCCTTATTTCTGAGAGCATCAATTGCCCCCATCTTCCCAGAGCTCTCCGTTCGCCACAGGTGGTGAGCGCCAGGAGGACCGCTCTGAGCTCTGTCCCCTTTCTCCTTCGTGACTCAGCCTTGGAGAGAGCAGCCAGGGTCTGACAGGCATGAAATGGGGAAAAGGAATGAAAAACTCAGCCACTGCTTCGCTGAATTAATTGTAAAGGGATATAGAGTCCTCTAAAAGTCATTGCCAGTGTTTAGAAAGCCTTCACATAAGTATATAAGGAGTAAGTTGATTTCCTTCATTCGCCCATAAAAATAATTTATTGTCAATCTTATATATTGTAAATTAACAGTATTTATTTTTATTCTACATGAAAACTTCTTCCCCCAATTTTTCCTTTCACTAATTTATTAGGCACTTTATTTACATGCAGATAAGCTCTTTTTAAGTCATATTTTTATTTTTGCCCATCAAATATTTCTTTTTTTCAAACTTAAAGCCACTAAGAACCTGATAAAAGAGAACCATAAGGTACTGAATCTCTGGGAGATGTCAGAGCTGCGCCCCGGGGATGTCCAAGTGGTGGCCAGAGCAGGTGCCCCTCAGCCTCTCAGCAGTGGGCCCCCTTGCCCTCTGATGGGTCTGTGTTGTCGGCCCACTTGTGACGGGCCCCGTCGCCTGTGAATTGTTGTGAACTTAAATAAAATGTAAGAACTGTCAACCCAGACCTCGCGCTTGCTTCTTGATGAGCTGCAGAACATCAGGCATATGTGTCTGTGACCCAGAAGAGACGGGATCTGATTTTAGGCTGCTCTTAGGAAGTGTACTAAATCGGCCATGGGCCACACTCAGACCTCCAGCCTTTGCCCCCTCTGTACCCATTGTGTCCTTGCTCCTGGGTTCATGGCCCATTGCACAGCCGGCTACTTCACGTGTACGGGACAGGACATCAGCCCGGGTCTGACCTCTCCCCACACCTGCACAGCTGCGTATGGCTCATGGAGAACGGACCGCGCAGGCCAGGCTGCATCTACAACCTCAGCCATCATAGTGAGCCTCTGCTGCCTAGCAGCCCGCCGTGCCTCCCCGAGAGTTTCTGGGAGATGCGGTGTTGGTACACGAGCAGTCTCCATGTCACCACGCCCAACGGTTCCCAGCAAGAAACCCCTCCTCCATCTCTAAAGCATGTGACGGGACCCCTGCCTCCTTGAAATGGTGTCTTTGCTTTCTGCCCTGCCTTCCTGCAAGGTGCCCAGCTTGCTCTGTGGGAGTTCCCCGTCTCTGTGTCTAAGTGTTGAGGAGCTGTGGGGCCCAGCTGTATCTCTTCTTCACCCACTTCCTCTTCCTTGGCATTGCTCCGAGTGTCGTCCCTGCTGAGTGCTCCCAAGTTTCCTCCTCCAGCTCCAGCCTTTTAATGGGGTTCCAGATGTTTCCCAGTGCCTGCGCACAGCTGCCCTTGGAGGCGTGCTGAGGACCACAGGCACCTGGACAGCTCTACTGTGCACCCTGACACCTGTAGACCACTGATCGACAACTGCAGGACATGTTAAGGCCAACCCCTGGTATAAACAGCACCAATAAGTGAATAGCAAAGGGGGTAGATAATAGATTTTCAAGCCACTAAAACTGAAATAATTAAAATCACACTGAGATGCTACTCACTGGGTTGGCAAAAACTCAAAATGGGCTAAAGTCTTGCTCGGCAAGGCTGCAGGGATACAGAAGGAATTGCCAGCAGTAGAAAATAATGATAAGGGCTCTCTGGGCAGGGGGCCTGGGGGACTAGGCGGCCAGTGCACTCGCCTTGGTCTTGTAGCCCCGCATCACCACCCTCAGACCAGGCAGGTGAAGCCCTGCGCAGGGTTCTCTGCCGCATGCTTATGGCAGGGTTTGGCAAACTGTAGCCAGCGGGCGAAGCGAGTGTGCTGCTGCTCTGTAGGAGGTTGTATTAGCAGGTGTCCGTACCTGTCTGCTCACACACGCTCTCCAGTGGCTGCTTCCCCTGCTCCGAGGACCAGGGCAGAGAGAGAGACAGCAGCCTGCAGAGCCTAGACACTGCGCTCTCAAGCCCTTTGCATACGAAGGCTCCCCTGCACCTGCTGAAGAGTGGGTGCCTTCCGTTCTGTTTCCAGGTCTCCTCCAGCCCCCAGACCGCTGGGGTCCCACAGTGGTCGCCTTCCTCACACTTCCGTAAGTCTCCATCCAGTCGTGACAGAATTTGTCCCCTTCCAGGGCCTCTTACCCTTCCCACCTTGTGTGGGGACAACCAGGTCCACAAGCTCGGCCTTGGGCATTGTCCCGATTCTGCGGCCACCTCCGGCTCCAGCAGAGCAGCTGGGAGGTGACCTGCCTCACTGGCCAGGAGGATGCTCACGTGGTGGCTTGGGGGGATTCGTGTCCCCCAGGGTGGGTGTGCAGCCCAGCTCTCCCGCCTGCGTTCTAGCTGGTGTGGTGCATCTAGTCCAGAGCAAAGTGGGGACAGGCACCCCACCATTCTGCAGGACCTGTGGCTGTCAGGCAGTCCCCCGGGGTGGCCCATCCCATCAGTGACCTCGCCGCCGGTCGATGTGGTGACATCGAGCTTCCTGAGGTGCAGGCTGGACAAGGACAGGCGGTCGCTGAGCAGAAGTGTCGGTGCTTCCCCTCTGCTCCTGGTCCCTCCCATCTTCCTACTGGTGCCAGTGTGGGGAGGCAGGAATGCGGTCCAGTCATAACCAGAAGTTCAAGAGAAGACACCGAAGACTGGTCTATATTTATGCTGGGGAATCCAAATGGCCACTGTAAATGGGCGTGACCAGAGCACAATTCCTGTTCCCCTCTTCCTGCAAGCACTGGGTGGAACCAGCCTTTACAGAGCCCGGCGACAGCTCTGAGCCTCAACCCTGGGACCGTCATTCCCCGGATGATGCAGCACAAGTGATGATGTAAGTAGTGCGAAGTAGATGGCACTAGAGACACATGCGGGACGACACGTACCATTGCATAGCAGTACATTCTGAAC